AATTTACCTAATAAATCACTTGGCTTCCAAACACCTGCATTGTTAACCAGAACGTCAACCGTTTTCAATGTTTTTTTTACCCAATCAAAAGCTTTCAAAATATTTTCTTCTGAACACAAATCAACTTTGAAATAATAAAATTTTCCCAGTTTTCCTTTTAAATCTTTTTCCAATGCCTGGAAAAAATGTATTGCGTTATAAAAAACACTCTGCTTTATGAGGTGCTAGTAGATTTGTCATTGTTAAATTATATAAGGGAAATATTGTATTATGATTCAATAATTTTAATTTTAATTTTTTTTTATTCTTATAAAGTGTTCCTGACATAATGGTCATCAAATTTATTGATAAGATAATAACAATATTTAACATTTAGAATAATTAATAAACGCAATTAATTACAATATTTACAAGAAATTACAGTAATTKACATTGAATGATTTAATAGTAACTTATAAGTCACTGAATRAGAAATAAGAAATAGTTTATATTGTTATTAGAAATTGTATTTTCCACTAACTAATCAAATAGTTAGACTCAACTCACATTAATTAAAATTAAGTTCAATAAATCATTTAATTATAATTATAATATTATTCATATTACAATTATGTACATCAAACGACGCATACTACTTCACGTAGGTACTATAAAATTGAATATGTTATAGTGGTATAACAAATTTAAAATTATTATAAATAATTTGATAATGTTATTAAGTACTACCTATAGTAACTAAAATTGTGATTACTATGTTAGTCTGAAGGTAATGGCCCAATTTGCTCAAAATTTAAATAAGAAATTAAAAAAAAAAACTGTATTATTTATTTTTCACATGTTTAGGTATATTTCATTTAAGAATTTGTTATTTGTTGTTTTTAATAAAAATTTAAGTATAAATACATTTTAATTTGCAAAATATTTTGCAGATTTTGTGTCTTCGACTAATTTTTTCAACATTTTACTTTTAACGCTAATGAAGAAAAATAGTGCCTACTCGTATTTTTATAAAATATTTTTAAATTAAAATAGAAACAAATTATTTAGGGAATCGTGTATTAGATTGTCAAAAATTTTAAAAGCTTGACATTTGTATTCCTATAAATCCCATGTAAATATTTTGTATGCCTATAAATAGCTTAGGTAATATGTTAAAATATTTTGAAAATTTTTAAACTTGGCTTAGGAAGAGATAMATTAAGCCAAAACGGAATGTCACAAATGTTTAAGATTAATATTGAATAATAATTACAAAATAAYAAAAATGTTTTGAGTATATAAATAGTTATTATGCATATATTATAAATAGGTAGACAATTACATCAAAATCTTAACTTTAACCAATACTAAAAAAGGTTGTAATTATTAGGTACGCTAATTTTTTTTTAAATTTAMATTTWAAATTTTAAAGGRAAACTGGTATTCAATTTTCAATTTTAGGTAATGGAATGTAAATGTTATGCGTTTTTAGCAACATAATAACTCACGTATTATAAGAATTTTATAAAATGCACACGAATTGTAATTCAAGTCGCCAAAAATTGTAACTTGAGTCGCATATAATAAAACTGTGGTTATTATTTTTTGATAATGTTAAAAACAACTTATGAAGTACCTTGTCTTATATTTTCTAACTATTTTACTCGAAAATAATATTATAATCATATATAAATCTAAAATTAATTTAAAAAAATCAAATATGTCAAAAAGTGAGAAATTTTTTTAAAATCATATAACTAGGTATATTATCTTGTAGWAATAGAAAATGCTCATATAAATATATGACGGAATTAGCTCTAGCCGGATATAAAATGGAACGCGTAGAGCTATTTTATATAGAACAAATGAGTCCATGTTGCATCACAAAATACAAATGTTTATTAAATTGCCTTTAAGCCCAAACATTTTATTTTAATTTCCAACTATARTGTACTTACCTGAAGTTTATGTTCTCTTCTAGCAATACCAACAACAATCATTCCTTTTTCAACAAGTTGTCGACAAGTCTCCTCTCCGATTCCAGAAGAAGCGCCTGTTACTACAGCAACTTTTCCTTGCCACTTTTCCATTTTCGCTTTTAAATTCGTTTTGAATTATAAAAAATATACAGTTGCTTATTGGCGTCTAAACATCAACTAAAGCATTATTCTGAACAGCCGTCTTTATATAGGTATGTGTTCCGTGGGTAAATCGAATAATGTCGAAGAGAAAATTATAAGTAACCATCAATTAATTATTGTAAAGACAATTTTCACACAAATAGWTATGCWACATTAATTATTCAAGAATTAACTTGAATATTATTGTATTGAWTGTTTTAGGTCACGWAAAAAGGTAGCCATAAAATAATCTTAATAATGAATGGTAGACACTTTTACTAATATAAAGGTTACCCTTGTACATATTGATGTAATWAGATAACATTTTGTATATTTATTTTCGTTAATGATGGATATTTAATAAATCACTTGTGACTATGATTATATTATATTGTATATGATGACTTAATAGCAATTAAATAATGGCGTGTGGTATAGATATTTATTTTAATAGAATTTTTACTTGTTAAAGTCATTAAAACTGAATGAAAACTCAATATTATATGTCAGTATAACATAGACAATTATTAATATTATAAAATCTTGCTTCGATCAACACGTGCCAGATAATTGTTATTATTAACTTTTATTTATTTTTATAATAAAGTGTTTCTGACATGCTTAGATACTTTCTAACAATGGTACTTTATAGTCTATATTTATTAACAGAATAATTGGAGATCCCTAGTTYCTACTAAGACTTCAATAATGTAATCAAAGGTGCAAAAAAAACAGCAATAAAATACCTTTCATCGCATACGCTACGGAAACTATTGATGATAGAACAGACAATTTAAATTACCTATATTAAAAAACATAATATTACTGTAAATTTTTACATAAAAACTATTTTATTATRCAGGTAGATATTAAGATTATACAGAGTGTGGTTACATCTAACTGTTTACAGATTTATATACTATGTACATTGTACAATACTACAATATTCATACATAAACATTTAGTGAGAAATTCAAATAAGTATAGGTATMTAATAATATGTTTATTTTTCTATTAATTCATCAAATGAAAATAAATTTTCTTGAAAACTGGTTTTATGCTTATTTATATAAATTATAATCTTATTGCTAATTTCCCAATCAACATGTTATTATATAGGGATTTAATTTTAGATTCTTAGCGAAGCGAGGAATGTATTGTTTTTACAATGATATTTCATTATTTTTCTTTTTTATTCTGTGAACACTTTTTTTCCCTCTAAACTTGCTCAAAAGTATCAAATGTAACATCTTTTCTGAAAGGTAATGTTCTTGAGCTGGTACTTTAGAGAGGTCATCTTTTGATTTTCGAAATGGTACTCGAAATAAAAGMGGTTAAAGAAGTAAATACGTACGATTTCACGATTTTATAATATTAAATGCTTACGGACGACGTTTTCTATCAGAAATATTGCTTCAAATGAAAAATGACAAGAAATATTTTTTTTGTATTTTACCTTTTGTTCCTTATGGTTTAAAGTTCGAAAAATTTTAGCCATTTTTGAGCTATTCATAGACTTTTGAAATTAGACATTAGAATTTTGGGAGTTTTTTTGTTGTAATTTGGTTAAAAACATTTGTAAAAAATTGAAATTTGGGTTGTTTACTTATATTAGTCTTACCTATACATGGTGAAATTTTGAAAACATTTGAACGACTCTTTCTTTTTAAATCTAAGATTTGAACATTTTTAATAATCTATAATATATCCAAGATGGATAAACCGTCTTCGCTCAGAATCGTTTTTCGTATACAATGATATAATATAATTGGATTTAAATTTGATTCCAACCATTACAGTAACGGTTACTGTAATGGTTAGGTTAGGTTACTGAGTAACCCACTTGTAAGTTGTAACCTACTGTACAACAGAGCGACATTACGACTTATCAGCTTTTTTTTATTCATAKTCACGTATATGAACATAYTACATATAGTTGACTGACATTTTATTGAATTTAAAATAAATAGCTGTTAATAAACGAGTAAAAATAAATATTTTATTTTAATTATAATTAATATTGAGTTTATACATATCATTTCATTTTAATTATCGAAATATATGAAACATAACAATCTTGTTTTTTAACAAGGTTTTTAATACATTTCATTTTTTGAATGTTAATATTATGATTAATTTTACATGTTCTAAAATGGCAAGTTATTAATTTTCACCTTGAGAARTCTATATAATCAAACCTATTAATAGGTAGGTATAAAGAGAAATTAGTGTGTATTTTTTTTAAATTTAYGTGTGAAAATGAATGGTAATTACTAATTAGTATTATTGTGTGGCAAGGGCGAAAAGAGTGTCCTAGTAGAGTGCTGCATTGTACCAAAGTCGATTGAAATGCAATAGGTACCACGCTATAACCACACGTCGTAATAACTATTATTATTAGCTTTTACTACTTATGGATATCACTTTGATAATGATCGTTATTGTTGCTATAATATTGTTTGTAATTMCGGTACTTGCCAGTACTCYGTTTACAGTTTATCTCTCCACCACTCTTATTWAWTATCGCCTCGCCATAAAAAAAAATGGTTGACAAAATATTACTGAAGRCATGTTTTGGGCCCAGTAGTAAATGAAATGGACAATYGTGTGTGTCGGTAGTCAAGAAACAGTTAGGTAATTATTAACTCTTAAACCCTTTTTAKTCCGGTGACTTTTTTTCTGACACCGACATTGCGATTCCTTAACAAACATTATATAGACGTTTTTCACATATTTMACTTGAATTACCTACAGTATTATTTTGTAAAAATGTAATATTCTAGTATCGTTGTTGAAAACAACTGTAAGGATATAATGTAAGTAATTCACTGAAATTCGATAGCTTAGGTAATTAGGTTAAAAAATTCAATTGTAGGAACAATAACGACACACTATAATACAACTTMTATGTGTTGTRGGGAAATAAATTTTATACGATGTACTAGCGGGGCGATAAYTAACAACTACCGTACCTAATTATTGTGGATAGTAACACGGCTATCATAACGTGTGGCATACGTKTATGACTAATCMATTTTAGAAACTTTTATTGGCCATTAGCTGTAAATAGTGGAGGAAAAAAMATTATGAAAAAATAATTATTTACTTAAAATCCGCTGGACCGGAAGAAGTCATTATGTCCCAATGCTTCAACCGGCATCAAAAATATTGCTATTCCTGTACGGCTGTACAAACAAAAAAATATTTTCTTGGTATAGTATTACTTACCGGATGATTCCAAATTTATTACTCAAAGTGTCCATTTTCGTRTACTTATATAGTATATAAACACATTATTACATTCTACACATCAATCAAAACTGCCCGTTAATTAAACCAGTATCATTGGCATTAAATCCAATCAAAATTCCACTTCACCACGAACACAAATAATTGTACCTATGTACTACATACTCGTATACCTTTACGATGATAGCCGACAGGTATGCACACATTCATCATAACACATAAAATTGTGATCATACATAATATATTATTATAAAATACCATTATATTCGATCGTATGCAGTTAAATAACATTTTTTTTTTTTTGGAAATGGGACAAAAAAACAAAAAAAAACCAAATACCGTCGAGTCAACAGTTATAAATCCATACGATTCGACAAAATCGGGTGACCTGTCATTGGCATATTTGTTTATCCGCCAAAACATTCAGCATATTTTTACATATTATTGTCGACGACGAGAGGCCGGACAAAAAAAATTATAATAAAACTAGAATTTTTTGACCATTTGCCGGGTCCGATCACTATATATTATTGTTATGGTATCTAGCGTTCAGATTGTGTGGCTGACGTCGAGGACTCGCGGCGGTAAAGGGGGTGTCCGAAAAATGACCCTTTTTGTCACGTTCACAACCCTTTGCGATATTTCTGAACACTATAGTATAATATATAAATATTTATATATATATATATATATATATGTATATAAACAATAATAATAAAAATACACACGCGCGGCGTCGCGTCAACTATAAATCGGTTGTCATCGACAGTTCGAGGCATTTCGAAAAAAAAAACACTATACAAAATACGCTTTTTTATATAATTTTAATATATAAATTATAACCTATGTACGATAGAGTGTAGTAAAATGTCAAAATATGAAATACATATATACATAATATTTTATTTATATGCAGTGTGGTGTGCAAAACATAATATAAAGTCTGCTGACCCGAGGTAAACTATTGCAATTTTAAATTTTTTTGCACCCGCCTCGACTGCGTACGTACTAATTAGTATTTTTCAGAATAAAACAAGGATGGTTTTTATTTAATATTAAATTTTTTKATAGATATCTGATATCCAATTTAAACTAGATTATTTTTATGTCTGTAAATTGAATAAAATAATAAAAATAATAAAATGTATTATTTAATATTTAACAATAGGCACTAATGATTCTAGGTCATTAGTAAAAGCATCTTTGGTAATTGGTTCAGACCTTTTTAATATGCCTCATTCCAATGTAGACAAAGTCTGCGCACGCCTATGACAGTGGGGCTTTGACAAAAACTACGCGGGACGCATTGTCTACATATTTTGTAACGATACACACTTAATTTACAAACTATAATTTGTATTTATAAATCAACTTAATTTTTTTTTCTTTTGTATCGCAAGCCAGAGAAGGAACCGCGTTAGCATTACATCTCCTCTGACTCCCATCGTTTATTCATTACAATTACATCAACAATTATTAGCGGTGGGATATTCCCCACTCACTAATATTAAAACAAAATTTTACTAGTTATGGGTACAATACTGGGAGGTCTCCCTAGGTACCTTCGCCTATAATCAATTGCTTAACTACGAGTAGTTTGATGTCCGGATTCTGCGTCAGGATCTTACCGCCACACCTCCGTGGCCTGGCGGACTCGCTCCTTTTCTACCTTGAGTGAGAAGATGTGTTCGACTATGCCATAGAACATCCGAAATGACTCCTCCGCATTCCTTAATATAGCTGACTTTTCAGCCAACCTTT